CCACATCCTTCCCTGAAATAGAGATCATTCATTCAGCTGGACCCACGCAAGGCTGGACAAGGCACCATTACGGCACAGAGGCCAAAGGCACAGGGGTGTGTGTGTGTGTTACCGGTATTTTGTGGCACCAGGGAAGGAGGTGTGGGACTAGGTGAATAGCCCTGGGACTAGGATGGGATTTTCTGCAAAGATGAAGTGCTGAGTGAGATGCATACCAAGCTGCCTCCCTCCCCACTGCCTCTTTCCTCTTCGTGCATTAGTTTATTTATACAGAAATGAGACAGAAAGCCCCAACTCCCTTCCTACAATTCTGAGTGCCTGAGTTTGGAGCAAGCTGTTTGGTATGGATCGAGAAAGCCCCTACTGGCAAACAGGGTCTCCAATTCTGCTCAATGGGCTCATTCACTAGCTGTGATGAATTCATTGGTTCTGGCATATTAGCAGGCAGCTGGCCTTTTTCAGTGGGCCACTAAGACTTCTGGAGCATGGTAGGATTCACACCTGCTGGTGGCCTATTTTCTTATAAGAGGCAGTAGGGGAAGGACTTTTGGGTCCAGAGGGGACACTCTTTAATCCACAAGGACCCATATTATGGATCCATTCCTAAGTCAGAATGATCCTACAGATACAGATGCTCCAAGCTGTTCCTTCCTGCCTTTTGTCTATGTACTAGTCTGTCCACAAGGTTAGTATTTTTCTGGGAATCTGAAATCAGGCAGAGTTTTATTCTGGTAGCAATTTACAAAGCTTTATTGTTACTGATAATAGTAGCATCACCTTCTGTATTGTTGGCAAAACTCTAGAATCCTGCTCTACACTTTGTTTTTCCAACACAGGGATTCAATAGGAATTACTAAGTTGTATTGTACGTCCACTCTGCAGAACGTGATGCAATGCATGCATGCATGCAGTTGCTTCTTGCAGCATCAATACAGTAAAAGGCTTACAACCCATCAGAATTTTTATTGTGGAGCTTGGAATACGCAGATTCTGGAAAGGATTCTGTCAAGATAAACACCAAACAAATGAACAAAGCACATGAAGTATATATCTGTTTTTAAGAACATTTAATGTGCTTGGAAGATGTAAGCTCTTTACATCTTCCAAGTTGGATGCATGGGTCTACGACTAAGTGGAAAGAAAACTAATGTGGAATGTTTGTGTAGGAGCCTATTAGCTTTGCTCATTTACGGTGAGATTTTCCAATTGGAAATTTGTACCATGTGACTGACTGACTTAGCATATTGCTATATCTTGCTTTGAGTATTGAAACCTGTTGGCAAACACTCAACCTGGATGCCACCCAGCCACACAGGTTCAAAATTCCTGGTGGGTGGTATGAACGTGTGGGTTGTATGAATCAGTTTTGTTGTGCTCACATCTTTGATGATTTTGTGCCATTCTATTTTAGGTCCCATCCCTTCCAATAATAATAATGTCTTCCAATGCCAATGATTCCCAGGCTTTTAGCCAAGGAAACCCATCAATATATTGTGGTCCTGATTTAGCATTCAGCTGCCAATTTTAAGTATTGGCCCCAAACCAAAGCCCTTGTGTCATCTGAAACACCCACTGCTTGCTGGCAGGTTGACAACCTACCATAACCTATGAGTCCCAGATGGCCTTTGGAATGGCTTTGTGGTCTTAAAGGATTGGCATTGATCAAGCACAGGATGCTAGACTTGCTTCTCTACATTAGTTTTCAGGCTCTTGCCCCAAGAGAGCAGGGAAGGAAGCTCATCTTTCAGAAGTCAGTTATATTATAGATTAATTACAATGCTTTGGTGGAAAAAACTATGTAAGAGATGTTGACATCTGAAGAAAAGGCTTCCAAGGAACAGTAGAAACTAGATCCCTAATGAATGGCAGGAGAAGTCACAGGAACAGCAATGCTTGACATTTGGGTCATCCTCTGTTCAAATCCTATACTGACCTCAATGATTTAGAAAAGTGTCAAATCTCTGTAGCACAAGAAGGCAGATGTGTGATATTACTCTATTGTGGACTGTCTTGGTTAAGTAAGGCCATTCTAGTATTCTGGACCACTGCTTATTGATGGGTGCTAAGTATTCACGCTGCTGCAAATGGACAAGCAAAGCAAATATTTGGATAATTCAGGAAACTGAATTCTGGTTCTGCCTTAAGCAAAAAGCCAGCTGGCTGATTTTTGGCCAATCATTTTCTCTCAGCTGAAGAAGAAGGTAATGGTAAACCACTTTCGAAGGTTTTGCTAATAAAACTACAGGGACTGCTCCAGGAAGTTGCTAGGAGTCCACACTGACTGAAAAACAGAACAAAAAGCCCCCACAAAACCCCGAGATGATGATGATGATGATGATAGAAACTGGGATGTTTGTGTGAGAACGTATTATCCAGAGTAAATTAAAAGCCTGCAACTGGACCGCTATAGGTACAATCAGCCATCAGAAAAAAATCCCCAATATTTTCCCCAGAATAAACTAAGCAATTCAATTTTATTTGTATGAAATGTTGCAACTGGAATGATAGAAGCACAGTCAATTACAAAAGTACTTAATTTATTCTGATCATAATACTGAGAATTTTTCTGATTTTAAGACCGGGCAAAAGTAAATGAGAGGATCATTGTACAGGGTAAATGACTGGAGGGCAGGAGAATGTCATAGAAATCTGGCTGAATATGTTTTACAAAACCCTGTCTCCTATAGGGGAATAAAAACATTCCTCCACTACGGAATAAGCATTTTTCTAATTAAATGTAAACATTCACAGACGTCTGCATATAATGATATTGCAACCATGTATGAAGGACAGTATTTGTTATGCAGACTTCTATGCTGCTCTCTGATCCATTGATAAAAGTTGGCTCTGCAGTGTTGTGCTCTTGGAAAATGGAATAGAATAAGCTGAAGCATCCGCAATATCAGTCTCCATGAATGGGCTAAAAGAATCCTTGGATTAATGTGATTCTGGAAGCTGCTAATAAGAGAAGCCTGGGTTATATTATCTTAAAAGTGCAAGTGGTCTATACTGATGAACGTGCAGAACTGAGTTTTAAGCGGATAACAGAGGGAACCAAAAGGATTAGCAACAACTCGTGTCTATTGCACCTGTTGCAACATCTCTTCTGTCCTTGGAAAACTCTTGCACACTAAGATAATAATAATAAAAAAAATCCTTCTCACCAGCTGCACACCACACTGGCTGCAGCCTATAACCACTTGCCCCATGTCATTGCTATATATTACTTTGCAGAAAAAGGAAATGCAGAAGCACAAACAATTTCTTGGGTGGGTGGTGGGTGGAAGAGGCCTTCTTTCTTATCCCTTCACCCAGCTGGATTGGAATGGGCTACAGCTGGGAAGAGAGGAAGCACCACTGGGGAAAATGGCCCACTGAAACCCTATCCCCAGTGGGGTGGCAGGGGCTACAATTCCTTCACAAGATCTCTTGTGAAACTTTAAACCCAGTAGATGGCTGGGAGGGGGAGGGGGCTGGGGAGGAAGGAGAGAGACAGCTGCAGTTACCTCCTGGGGATGATCCCGTGTGTTTTCTGCCATAGTTCAGTGGTGGAAGGGGGAGGAGGCAATTAGAATATTTAACAGGAGAAAGGGGACACAACCAGAAGGAATGCACGCTTTAATGTTTCCCCAGAATATCTTTGTTGTATTTCTTGGTATGTTAGATCCTCTGGAATTGTAAGCAGGGAAAGGGACTCCTTTTGACATTTGAGGGGCTTCGACCAATTGCTAGGAAGAAAATAGGGTGGCTGCTCGGCGGGTGGGGGTGGAATAGTCCCACTGGGCTTTGCGATATCCTGAGATAGATTCCCAGGCTCTGAAAGAGTGGCCAGTTGCTAGATCAATTTCAGGGAGATGTTGGTAGTGGAGTTCATGGTGGCTTAAATGGAACAGCAGCTAATGCAGAACAGATGTTGTGCATGAGCAAACCTCGGAAGAATGGACACTCCACCGCTAGCCTTCCCATACGATGTTGGAATACACAGGTGCACATGTTGTGCGTGCAAGCAAGTCACACAGGTGCATGTGAGTGTGTTTAGTCCTTTCTGCGCTCAAAACCTCTTTCTTTATAAAACACAAAAACAGCTGCATTTCTAAGGGCTGGTCTCCTTAATTTTTATCCCTAAACTGAATTTTGCTTAGCAGTGTGTGTCCAGCAAAACAAAGCATGTAAAACTCTTCCATGGCTCTCACTATGGCACCTATGCATCCAGCGTCTCACAACCTGGTACACTCCGGATGGCAACTCTCAGCACAATTGCATTGCCCATAGATACTGGATACTTCAGGGAGCGTCACATCTGGAGAGTGCCAAGTTGGGAAAAGTTACAGTATTACCGAATGGGTTGAGTATACTACACCTGAAAAGTCCTTCTATTCTCCTTTCACGTTTTTCAATAAATGATGAACTTTTAGGAACCTTGGGGAAAATTGCAAAATTTAGGAATACTGTGCTTAGGGATGTCCTGAAAAAACATCTGACTTGGATGGAAAATGTGAAACAAGGACCCTGCTGAACATGACATCAGGCCAGAGACAAAGGGTCCTATGGCCTTTAAGAATCACAAAATAGTTGGAGCAAAAGATTTGAGGAACGATGCTCTACTTCCTCAGTTAAATAGCTGAAGATAACAATTCTTTCATTGGATGAGATGGGTTACATTCACAAATGTTATAATAAATATATTGGAATTCGAAGTGCCAGCAGATCCTGTGTTGCTTTAGCTGCATTAGAGTATCAGTGTCCCGACTTGAAAAATCAAATCAACTTCTCTCCTGCAGATCATTGGGGAGGCAGATTATGACTAGCTGTTAAAAAGGGAGTTTAGACACACAGTTCCTTCCTTTCTAAAGCCCCACAGATATTCACTTACACAAGAACCAAATTAACTTGCAGCAGTTGAATTTCACACAGAGATTTAGGCATACCAACTGAGGCCAGACTAGTCTAACAATCATTCCAACCAGAGATGCAGGAAAAAAAAACCCTCCAGGCAGAGGTTCTACTCCAAAAAAATAATTTATGGGTGTGGGTCATTCATGTGCATTAGAAGTGATATGTACATAAATATTTATCTCTAGGGTTATGTACAGAGGACATCAGGAGCCAGAAGGAAAGGTCCGTGTCCCAGATAGGACATCCTTGGGATTGTATGTCCAGATAAGGATGGGACAGCCTGAGAAAGCTGGCTGGCTGACTCCTGCCAAAATCATGAAGTCTCTTTAAAGTATAATTAAATTGGGAATGGTATCAGAAAAATAAGCAGGATACCCTGTGATGCTCCCAAGAGCTCCTGCCGTTAGAGAGTGTCCTTCTTTTCAGGACTAAGTTACTTCCTATTAAACTGGTCTTACTTGTCTTCAGTCAGCTAGCTGCACTGAAGGCTCAGCTAGAACAACAGCTTTGAGGGGACCTGAGATTACAAGGTATTGAAGCATCAGTATTAGTGCTCGGAGCATCGGCAGACAGATGTAAGGAAACCATCTGGTCCTTGTTGGTGAACTTTGGGCAGCAGATGTCCAGCAGATTCCAGAAGCTTGATGCGACTTTTAGTTCTGGCTAATATAGCTCCAGGCAGTTTCTTCCACCAGGGACATTCTGAGAACTTCGGTTCTCAAATTAGGTAATCCTTTAGGAATGGAGGGGGGGGGGGGAATCCCCAAAATGCCACCTTCCCTAGTGTCCACGGCCTGTCTCTCTCTTCATGTCCTTACATTATGATAAGGAAAAAGGCAAGGGGTGATTGGCAAAGGATCATGAGTGAAGACTGAATCATCAGAGGAACAGGTGCTGGTTGTGTCTTCACAGGATGGGGAATACTGTTCAAAAGGCATTGACAGGTCCAGATACTGAAAAGGGGAAAAAAATACATAATCAGCATTCATAGGGATAAAGGCAAAATCCTTACATTTTGTTACCAACAACCAGCTGTTTAGATATCTTCAGTGGAACCATCCCCTGGGAGTTCAAACCTACCTCCTCCGAGACAGCAACCAGGACTTTATCCAATCCCTCCACTAACTGCTTAAAGGTGGGTCGTTGGGAAGGTACAGCATGCCAGCACTCTCTCATCATCATGTACCTATTTGGGGAAAAGAGAAGCTTCAGGCATCTATTTTCCACTGGACTATAGCCTATGGACATGGACGCAATGCCTTTGGAAGACAAGGAGGCTGGGAAATGTGGCTTTAGGAGGAGGCACAGTGCTACTCACAGTTCATGGGTGCAGTTGGAGGGCTTGTCCATTCGGTGACCTTCTTTCAGGAGTTTGAAAAGTTCTTCCACTGGGATGCCAGGATAGGGGGAGCCACCCAATGTAAAAATTTCCCACATGAGAATACCAAAGGACCACCTTAAAGTGAGGAAAAGGCAGGGAGAAGGTAAGAAGGCTATAAAGATCTTCAGAATATATATTCCAAATATATATATAAAGATCTATATACATATACATATATATATATGTAATTAGATAAAAGGAGAAGAGCCTGTGGCCTAGTGGTTAACACATCTGCCTAACATGTAATACAGCCCAGGTTTGAATCCCAGTAAGGGTATGGCTAGCTGATGAGAGCTAAATAGCTTGAAATAGATCTTAATGTCTGTATCTCCCCTTCCCCGATTTTATGTGAGCCGCCCTGAGTCCCCTCAGGGAAAAGGGCGGCCTACAAATATTAATAAAATCTCAAATCTCAAATCTATACTAGTCTCCCTTTATTTATTTATCAGCACAAATAAAACACAAATATAACAAAGGCAACAGTAAAAATATTGGGTTTCTGTCATGATGGACTCTTGTGACGAGCTGATTGACAGATGATGGAAGCAGTTAGCTTCCTCCCATAATTGGGGCTTACCAGGGGTTGTGACACTAAATATATATGTGTGTGTGTGTGTGTGTGTGTGTGTGTGCGTGTGTGTTTTCATAGATTTCACGGGTGTAGGTATGCTGGTCTTGTTGCATTCGGGTCTTTTCCCGTGTAAGATTGAGATTGTCTTGGCAACATTTTGGCGAGGTCCCACTCGCCATCTTCAGGCTGGTGTTTTCCCCCCCCTCCCACCAAGATTTATAGAGAGACGGCAGCTCCAACCACGCTTTACTCGCACAAACACAAAGCCGAAAACACCAGCCTGAAGATGGCGAGTGGGACCTCGCCAAAACGTTGCCAAGACAATCTCAATCTTACACAGGAAAAGACCCAATCCCTGTGGCAAGCAAACCTCAGAAGAGGTCCGTCACAATAAAATGTGAATGAAAATTATTACAGGTATTTACCAAAAGTATTTGTGACCACAAATGGCAGAGCACGGTAAATATTAAGTATCCAGTATGCAAAAACCAGGGTGAAAATAAACATCTATTTCAGGAAGGAACTAACTAGTGAATAAATCAATTACAGACAGTTTGATAGAAACATTGCTCTGGCTTTGCAATGAAAACTTTGATTCATGCACTAGGAACATTAAGGAAGTGATATATAATAGATTCCAGTTATTCTCCATGTTTCTAAAATACTTGGGGAAGAGTTGCAATATGCTGTATTAGAAACACAGCTAATGTGCAAAAAGTCCCCGCCTCAATCATTTCCATGGACAGCTGGGAGGTATCCTTGTCTGGGACTTAAAAGTGGGTTACAGCCAGTCAGTGTAGATATTGTGGATTTAGGCAGACCAACAGGTTCTGTGCCCCCAAAATAAGGCAGATTTCCTTTTTTTTTAATAGGTGAAAAAGATGTATCTGAAACATTTTGCAATATTTATCTGTAGGTGTGAAAACTTTAGATTTGATCCATACAATTTGATGGGAACACCAGCATAAAATCTATGTTCAACACCCTAAACAGCTATGCCTCTTTTCCTGGGACTGTATGGCAGAAGCTGCAATATCCTAGATGCCTTTTTAAAGATGTAGCAGGCAGGTTTAGATTCCAAAACACTTTTGGAAGCAGATCCAAAATACTACAGAACATTACTCAAGTTATTTTACCAGGCACGTTTCTATAGGGTGATTAGATAGTAAGAACCATTTAATCTTGCACAATCATACTTACACATCACTTTGGTGTGTATACACTCTGTCAAACAGAGCTTCTGGTGCCATCCATTTTACAGGTAAGCGACCCTGCAGGTAAACATGAGAAGCTGTCAGTTCATGGATGCTTTTGGGGGGGGGGGCGGGGAGGTCACAAACAGTCTCTGACAAGTTCTCTCCTTCTCCTTCCAATGAATAGTATCGGTACCACAACCCTATCAAATCTTTATTTTCTTAATCACTCTCTATACTTCAAAAGTACAGGTGGTCCTTATTTAGCAACAATTGGAACCAGCAACTCCATTGTCAAGTCAAGTGGTTCCCTAAGAGCTTATGGACTTAGTTCAGCTTTCCTTTGCTTTATAGATAGTGAAAGTGATAAATATGAGAGCTGGTTGTAAAGTTACTTTATCATCATTATAATTGTGAACGGTTGCTAAAGGAGGGAGTCGTTAAATGATAGATACCGTATGACTTTGTTACCCTACCATTGATCCTGTTCCTCTTAAAAATACTGTCAGTTGCCTAGACAGCTAGATCTTATGGGTGGTCCTGGCAGTAGACAGTCACATTAACAGCCATAATAGTCAGAATAGTCCCCACCCATTGTCTTCTACAAGGCCATCATAAAGGCATCACAATACACAGTTCTTTGCATCAACAGAGTTGCTGTTGGGGTTCCATTGCATCACTACCCTTGACTCCATTGGTTAGGCAGGAGCCAATGGGCATGTCACAGTCAATGTCTGAGAGCATTCCGTGCTGCTGGGCCTTGATGGTGAGTTGTGTAATGGAAAAGCTTACTTATTCAGCAACACACTGTTTCTTTCCTTGCAGGGCTATTAGGCAGAATTGTGTGATTTGCTGGGTTTAATGTTCTAATGAGGAGTGACTGGGTGGAATTGGTTTAATCTTATGCAAAACTGGCTAGTTTCAAAACAAATAAATCTAGAATAAATCCCTTGGGTTTAGATGACTAGATCAACGGATCCCTTCTTGCTATTCTGGCTGTTTTGGGGACAATATTCTTAATTTACCCATGCCCCCCCCCGTGATGCTTTGCATTTCCAAAGCACCTGAGCAACATTAGATCCACTCGCAAACTTGTGGCCATCAAATGATCTTTTCACTCACATTGCTGGTTTTCTTATAGTAGTCTATGTCATGAACTCCACGGGCCAAACCAAAATCAGCAATTTTCATCACATTCTCTTCAGTAACAAGAACATTGCGAGCGGCCAGGTCCCGATGAATGCACTGGAAGAAAAACAAGAGTTGCATCAAGCTCCAAGGACTCTGCTACACCCTTGATGTCACCATAGATTATCTTATTACTCCTTCTAACATAAATAGAAGCAGGGACTTTTTACATTTTTCTAATTTCCTTTTTCTCAGGCCTGATATATACAACATTCTGTTGTTGGATCTCAGGCAATTCAATAACAGACTTAACATGGAGTGGAATGAAGATGCCAGAGCATCAATCTATATCAATCAATCAATCAATCAATATATTTTTTTCTGGACCAGAGAACATATTTGGTCTGAGTCTTATTCTAAGAAGTGGTCTCATTCCCCAAAGTGGCTGGACATGATAATTTAATTGATCTTAAATTAATCAGAACTAAATAACACTACCCTATGATTTTAAATTTCTCCTGTCACAATAAAAATGATAACTTAGTCACCATTTTGAGAAAAGTATTGTGGGCCCAATCTAAAGCTTTGAACTCAAATTATTTCTGAATCAGAGCTGACTAATACACCCAAGAGGGTTTCTCGGGGCACCATCATGACAGACAGCAATGGACATGGTTTGGCCCAGATCCCTCTTACCCTCTTGGACTCCAGATACTCCATGCCACGGGCCACCTGGTAAACACAAGAAACCAAGTCTTTGAAGGAAAGCTGCTCCTCTGGCATCTTGGTAATGTCAAATGTGTAATCAGGTGTCGGAGGTCGGCGAGCTCGCAGATACTCTCGCAAATTCCCCTTGGCAGCAAACTCCACAATCACATAGAGAGGACCTATATAGTCAGATATTACGAATCACACTTGGCCTCAGAAAATGCCTCCAAAATGTCCTAACTTCTGGCCCCAATGCCACAAGTGCCCATATTTAAGTTCAGTATCCTGACAGATCCAGCAATACCCAATCCCCCCACCCCCCCCGATGAGTTCTGCTTCCATTCCATTCTGAGTCGTCATTTCTCAATCTTTTGCCTCCCAAACATCCTCTCCTTTCCCCCAATGCCCACTGCTTCCTGGCCAGAAATGAAGTCACTCACCATCTTGGGTACAGACACCCAATAGGTTTATGATATTCTTGTGTTGGTCCATTCGTTTCATCATCTCCATTTCTGAGATGAGGTCAGCCAGGTCTTTATCTGTAGCATTATCTAATAAGGCAAAGAAATAAGCTTATAATGATTCCTGAAATGATATGAAGACCCGTTTTTTAAGAATACCACCAATAATGAGAAAATTCAGAAGGGTGAGGTTTTGGGCCCTATAAAATACAATTTACCTTTCAGCATTTTGACAGCCACAGTGAGAGGCCGTTCTGGACGTTCAGGATCAATCCCATAGGCTTCTGCTCTCACCACCTGCCCGAAACAGCCCTCACCTAAGGGCTTGCCTAGCACCAGCCTAGGAACAAAAAAGGACAACTTCAGAATTGGGAAGATGTGCCAAAATTAACAATGTGCTGCAACCTTGATTTTTTTAAAAACATCCCTAAATAGATTCTAAGCGTTGTATCTTAGGCTGCTCTATGCATTACTAAAGTCACAATGGCTCCTCTTAGCAGTGGAATATTATTCTTCCAGAGGTCAGACTAGTGTGGATATTGATTAGCTTTCAATAACATTTACAGGTAGTCCCCGACTTACAACAGTTCATTTAGTGACCCCTCAAAGTTACTGTCACTGAAAAAGGGGCTTATGACCATTTTTCATACTTATGACCATTGCAGCATCCTCATGGTCATGTGGTCAAAATTCAGACCGTTGGCAACTGACTCATATTTATGGTGGTTGCAGCATCCTGGAGTCATGTGACCCCCTTTGTCACCTTCTGACAAACAAATAGCAATAGCAGTTAGACTTATATACCACTTCATAGGGCTTTCAGCTCTCTCTAAGCGGTTTACAGAGTCAGAATATCGCCCCCACAGTCACTCCTTTCTGGCATATAGG